AACCATTTAGATCTGACACAGAAATTTAATATTGTAATAGGAAATTTCTGAAATCAATATAATAGACAGCCTCTGCTGGATGCACATAAAACCCCTGAGTTAAACGACTGTGTCACTGAAGCATTCAGAGACAGGGGATGGTTGGAGGCCCAGCATGTGTTTGCTGTACCACTCTGCTGAAATGAAGCTTTTATTAAGCCACATATCTTATGGAAACTTTCTTTATAGCACTTTTTTTTTCCTAACTCTGTTTTCCAGAAGAACTTACCCTCAAATATCAGAGGCCAAGACAGACTGCCAGGTAGGGAAACAGAGAAAGCCTCAATGTCCTTTCAGCAATATCAAATGAAGCTTTGTAGTTGGGAATTTTTTTCAAAATGTAATAAAAAACTGCATATTTGTCTGTTTATTTTTAAAATGCTTAATTTTGGGGGTGCCTAAGCCTCCTTGAAATGAAAAAAAGAACCCCGCAGATGATTTTGAGAGTTGCATTAGCAAGTAACAAGCAGAAAGTTTGCAACTCCAGCTCAAAATTTTTTCCTTCACTCAGAATTTAATAATTACAGAACTTGCATACAGTTTATTCTGAACTACTTCAGTTAATAAGAGCTTCTACATAGTATTAGTATTCGTGGACATCAAACAAAAAACTGGCTGAGGATGGCATATTTCCCTTCTAACAGGAAAATTGTTGTGTGAAACTGTACATAGTTCAAACAACTTCAAAAATAATGTTTAATATTTAAAGAAAAGTACTAGTCAAGGGTTCCATAACTTCAGTAGATTTTATCATGTATTATTTACCTACTGGAGACCCTGAAATCTGCTGTATAACAAAAATGTAAAGATGGGTGCTGAAGTAGCCCTTCTAATTTTATGAGAACACCTGAAGGAGGGGTTTGATTTTATGATGCATGTGGAGGATTATGTTAGCAAAGAAAATATTTGATGGCATTATTATGTTTTTATTCAATTAGATTTACTTATTTTCAGTCACACCAGACTGAGTTGAGTACTTCTGAAGTGAAGCCTAAAGAACAGAGAGGAAAGAAGAAGTTGGCCTTCCTCAATGCCCAGGCACGGTGCTGCTCTCTGCCCTGCCTGGCCACTGCTCTTGCAGGCTGGAACAGAAGCCCACCAACTATATTGCATCAGGGAGACAACTCTAGATGTTAAAAAATCAAAATATGTGGAATTAAAATTGATTTTAAACCTGCATACATAACTCTCCACTGTATTTTAGAAGGGAAAACAAAACCGAATTTCCAAACCCTCCAGCCGGAGCTGCCACAAATAAAAATCCAGTGGGACACAGACACACGTTCTCAAGGGTGCAGCAAAACACAAACAAGTTTAAACTCTTCTGCGTGGCCTTCCAAAGGCAAGGCCTGCACATGTTTCCTGGGAAGGAGCCTCCAGGGCCAAACCCCACCTGAACTAAAGAGCCTTCCAACCCCCACCTGAACTAAAGAGCCTTCCAAACTCCACCTGAACTAAAGAGCCTTCCAAACCCCACCTGAACTAAAGAGCCTTCCAAACCCCACCTGAACTAAAGAGCCTTCCAACCCCCACCTGAACTAAAGAGCCTTCCAACCCCCACCTGAACTAAAGAGCCTTCCTGCTCGGCTCTCCCCCAGCCACTCTGCTGGTCCCGAGGCTGCCCCAGCAGAGCCCCTCACCCAGAGTCCACAGCCCCACTGCAGCGGGGCAGAGCAGGGGGCACCCTGGCACACCCCAGTGCCGTGTCCTGCTGCTGGGGCACCCTGGCACACCCCAGTGCCGTGTCCTGCTGCTGGGGCACCCTGGCACACCCCAGTGCCACGTCCTGCTGCTGCTCCAGCACTCCCCAGCTGGGCTCAGTCCCTGCAGCAGCACTCTGGGTCCTGCACACCCCAGAGCCATCCCAACACTCCAACACTGATCCCACCTGAGTGCAGATGTTACACTGGCTCTGAAGGGAATCAATGAGACATTTCACTCACAAGTAATCTTCAGTCCTGCATGAGCACAGAATGGGAAGCATTGGGACAGCAATGGATTTGCTATTATTAAAATTATTCATAAAATATCAAATAAAGACTAACTTTAAATACTTTGCTATTTGTTCATGGTTAGCCTATAAGCAGCAAGATTTATTAAGCATTTATTCATTGAGTAAACTGCTGTGATTAATTTTTCAGCCATCAGTCTCCTTTGCTCACAGAGACATTTAAAGAGCATGTGCAGTGAACATTTTATGAGTCGCATTTTCTATGGCCAGGAAGTGAGACAAGAGGAAGATGACCTTGCCTGACACAATTTCTTTATGAGCCCATCTTCTCATTGATCTATGGCTCCACCAAGTAGAATTATGGTCCCGACGCTGCCCTTGGAACACGGGTCAAGTCATGTCACGAGCATGTATTCTTCCTTGTCAAACATCTAACTGATCCCATGGTTTGCAGAGCCAGTACTATTACTCCAAATTTGATTTGCATGTTTTCAGCAAAGAGGTGCCTGTGTCTGTACATGATAAGTAGCTGCACCTGCCTTCAATTTGCTCTACTACATCTAATTTCCTAAGTGAGGAGTTCAAATACTATGAGACGGCAATCAAAGACTAGCAAGATTTCAGAGGCAAAGGTAAGGACTGAATTACTCTAAGCTTTCAACCTGTGTTTCCCTGTCCTTGTCCAATTTCTTGACTAAAACTGGGAAATAAAGACGCAGCTCTACTAAATATAGTTGTCATCTGTTCACTGGGAAACTGCAGGGTAGAAAAATGTTTTATCAAGACATGATGCCTTATTCTGGTAGCTCTGAGCTTTATCACCATTGTTTTAAAACTGACAGAGAATTTATTTTAACTTATAAATACAAGAGGGTACAGTTAATACAGATGTGTGTGAATCCCAGAAAACGTGTCTGCTGCTTTGTTTTTAACCTTTTTTTTTTGTTGTTGCGAAGTCCTGTGTTTGTGGTTACAAATAAACATAATGCAAATAAAGCTTTGATATCTGTTGTGTAATTCACATTCAATACTTGCTTCAATCACTACTGCCTGGTTTGGCATTACATGTTTGAGTCCCAACTGGAAGCAATTTCAACCATCACTATGAACACAGGATCAACACACCACAACACATTTCACGCTGGTACATTAAGCTTGGTCTTCTAAGGGCAAAAATTCACTTATATCCTTTGCTTTCAATTGGAGTCTTAAATCCCACAAGAAGTATGTGATTTCCCAAAATGCAGAATAACTTTTTTTCCTAAATTGTACTTATAATTTGATATGAAAGATTATTCCAATGCAAACAGAAAGTTCAACAGAGCTTTCCAGTATGAATATAAAGAAATCATTATCCTCTCAAGATGTTTTGCTGTTGGACCTATGAATTGCTGTATAAATCACAGGCTCTTCATTGCAAAAGAAAATTTGCTCTGAAATAATCTGAGAGATAAAGAAAATGCAGAGAACAAAAGCCACAATGGAACTAACTAGCAACATGCAGAGTCATAAATACAGGGCCAAATATAATTTCCTATTATTTTATATTAATATATTATCCTCTTTTTTTTACATTCTAGCATTACCTTATACTACACTTTCCCAATTTTCATAATGTATTTCTGTGGACCTGAGCACTCTATCTTTTTTGAATCCTCAATTCTGCCACTCCATCACAAAAAAAGACACAGGACAACAATATATTCTGGTGCTACTGAAAAGTAAGGTAAGGGCTGTTCCGTCAGACAAGAAAAATAAAATTTAGAGTAAAGAAACTAGATAATTTATCTAATATGATTAGATATAATACCTAGTAAAAATGCACCATTTCTAATATACAACTCTTCCAAAAAACGTAGGAGTGCAGAGAAGAGAGAATATTTAATACAATTTTGTCAACAGAATATGAAAAGTCTTATTAGTTGTAATTACTTGATTAATTTTTCTTCATTTGAATTAGATTTAGTTGGGTTTAACAGTCACCACGTAGAGAAGTGATAGAGTATGTCTGACTAGATGGAGATCCTGTCTGAAGGAGCAGCTCAGCTTTCCCAGCCCACTTTCAAGCTCATGCTGGCCATTTGTTCCCCTCAGGCTGGAATGCAACATGCAGTGCTGCTCCCTTAGAACATCTCATGTCTCCCATGACATCACTTCCAAATTTCCAGCTGAAGCCATTTTCAGAGCACGGTCCCTAACGCAGCCTCAGTGCTGACAAAGTGACTCCCCCAGCACCTCATTCTTTACAGACACATAATGCTTGACAGCATTATCTCTAAGGGGCCTCAGGAGTCACCCAAGTTAAAAGACCAGCACGTTAAAGTCAGAGTAGCAGAATAAATTTACCACCTACTAAGCTAATAATTTTATTATTAATATGATCCATTTATTTATTTCTAAGAGCTGACAATGGCTGAATACATTGCGGAAAATATTCTTGACAAATTTATTAATTCCATCATCAGATATGCCCCATGACAGAAGGTCAGTACCTAAGATTTCCCTGCAATTTTAAAGGAAAGAATACACTTTAGTACCAGGGCAAGCCAAAATAAGACTGGAGAGCCCATGGAGCCATTAGTCTCTAGAAATTGGTCCTAACCTGAATACTTGTAGAAATAATCTCACCTGGTGATTGTTTGCTAAGCCCACAAAAAATTATTTGCTAGTTTCAATAGAATTATCATCACCAAAAATTGGCACTAGTACCTATCTTTTTGTCTTGGGAGTGACAGTAAATCAGTTAGAAACAAACAGCAAATTCCAGCCAGCAAAGTGCCTTTTAACCTTCTAAGCACGTGGACTGTGGTGTTATCAAGTGTCTGGCAGTAATTTCACTGTCAATAAATAAAACATACATCAGATATGATATACATGGACATTTTCAAGACAAACGAGTTCTTACTGAAAAAAAAATTATCCCCATGAGATACAAATTTAGCTCTTTTATATTCATAGTAAAAATCAACCCCGGTGTCTCAAGAAGAGGTATGAAGGAACTCACAGTGAATGCTTTAATTCAGGATCTGCTCTCTCAGTGCTTTACCCAGGCACTGCCAGGGAGAACAGGGCACACCTGCCCTGGGCTGTGCTGCCTGCAGGCTCCACTCCACTGGGGCAGCACCACACGTGCTCCAGCACTAAAAGGAGTAAGATGCATTTCAGGAACTGGCCAAAACACTGGTGGTTCGGGCTTTTGTTTCTAATTAAAACTTAATAAAAATATACAGATACTGCTTTCCTAGCAATTTCTTTTGGCCCACTATTTTCTCAAATGTCGGTGAAAGGGACAAACTTTACACATTATCAGCTCTTTCAATAAATTAGGAAAACAAATATGAACATAGTATACCATATTCCTATATAATGAAAAATTGATTATAAGCAAAGAATTGCATACTGTGCTAGTGTTGTAAATTACTTCCTCTGTGGCTTTTACAACATTGCCTATGAACATAATTGAATGTCACCAGTTTATGTTTGCAAATACAATCCCAATGACATTGCACCTGGGAGCGTGTGCACACAGTCATCTGTTATGGAGAAGGATCTAAACATATGGCCTGTTGATTAGGGTCTGGCCCCAAAGCTATCACAAAATCCTCCAGCCAGTTTTCTGCCAGACTAACCCATCACAATAATTCAGCTCTATCAAATAGGAGCTTCCCAACACCAACTGAGAAAGCAAATAGCATTTGAAACAGCCACCTCAGCTCCAAACAGTGAGCACTGGAGAAGGCAAAGGTCAGAGACTCACCTCCTACCAAGAGAAAACTAGAGTGGGTCCTATCCTACACTGCTATTCATCTTACCAGGCTAGCCTGTAAAGGCACAGGTTTTAATTTCCCCCTTCAACTTTCCAGTAACACCCTTCTAGACCAGAATTGTACCAGCACAGTCACCTTTCTGAGTATATGGACAGCACCTGTATGTTCAAAGTTAAGCTGATTCTTTAAACATAATTGGACCTCAGGCACATGGTTCCCATCAGCTGTTTAGGGCAAGTAATCTGTGGCTCACAAATGCAATGCACGTGTCATCACTTGCACAGGCAGAACATGCCTCCTTCCCTCATTTCTGCATGGGTTTTCCTGAATAGGATAGTAATTAAACCACAGAAATCAAACTGTTGGTGAAAATGAGCAAACGTTCCTGGGAATTCAAACAGGATAAAATTAAAACTTTAAATAAATACCTTTGGAAAGAATATTTCCACCACTAAACAGAGGAGTTTGATGTGTTTGACATGAAATACAGCTTTTGGCAATCACTAAAGCATACTGCAGGGTTCCACACTTTAAAAATAAAGGTCTACCTGTACATTTTTTGGAAAAAACAGCAATCGGACTAAGAACTAAGCACCTGTTGGCAATGCCAAAATCTATAAATTAGGGCAGTGTCTGTTGGTGTCTGTAATTACATTTGAATTTGAAACATCTACCCAAAGTAAATTGCAGCATTTGAGCTGCTTCCTTTGTCATATGTTCCAGTAAAAGCTGGCTTAGTTTGATCTTGAAATGCTTTTAAATTGATAACTGTAAGTGAACGTGTGCAGTGGGCATGCTCATACAATTTTCCTTTGTATAAAATAAAATAGTCAAACTTGGTACTGTAGGTGATAGCCTGCTGGTAGAACACACTGAAAAGAGAAAGACGTTCCTCCTAATGAACCCTTAAAGTGAAATGTTCTGGAGGACACAAATATTCAAGCTACTAGCTGACCTTTAGAGTCATATAGGAGAGGATGTGCATAATGCATTATTCTGTCGGATATGCATTACTTATTATAAAATAATGGAGGCTTCAGTACTTTACATATGACCATTAGAAAGATCAGAACATAACCCAGCCTTCGTAATATAATTGAGTGCTGCAAAAATATCTCTAATGATTAATATACCAGACATTATGCAATGCTCCTACAAGGTAATTTTGTCCTGACACAGAATAATGATTGTTACAGAACTTGTGCAGCTCAAGACACGCGAGGCCTGCGGGCCCGGCGGCCGCTGGTAAAGCTGAACGTGGGTGTAGGAACTGCTCATTAACATCAGGGTACCTCTGACATCTCTTTACAGCAAGACAACAAAGATTTTAAAAACATGCCTACACAGAAATGCACAATTCTCCCTTCAGTGTGCACGAGAAAGAGCCTCCAAGGCCAAGAACAAACCCTCACTCCCACAGGGCCGCTCACACCCGGCCCAGGCCTGGCACACGCAGGAACAGGCACAGGGTTTGTCTCCACCTTATCACCCCCTGGGAAAGGACTGCAAGAATCCAACAGCTTAAAACATCCACCTCAGCTCAGACAGGGTGGACTTACCGTAGAGATGAGCCCAGAGGGACCGAACACACCCTGCAGGCATTGTCCTGTCCCCCCGCAGGCAGGAGGGAGCCGAGGCACAGTCCTGAACCCCCCGTCCATGGCATCGCTCCCATCCTGCACTCCCGTCACCCATCCTGCTCCGGCCACAGTCCTGACCCCCCTCACTCATCGCTCCCATCCTGCACTCCTGTCACCCGTCCTGCTCCGGCCACAGTCCTGAACCCCCCGTCCATGGCATCGCTCCCATCCTGCACTCCTGTCACCCGTCCTGCTCCAGCCACAGTCCTGAACCCCCTCACTCATCGCTCCCATCCTGCACTCCTGTCACCCATCCTGCTCCGGCCACAGTCCTGACCCCCCTCACTCATCGCTCCCATCCTGCACTCCATCACCTGTCCCTGGCCACAGGGAAAGGGTAGGAATGACACGGACAGCAAAGGGCTGGTGGAAAACAACTGCAGGTAGAACGATGCAGAAATGTCTTCATTTCTGTGTTATGACAATTGAGAAGCAACACTAAAAACCGATGTCCAAATCTGTCAGCCAGCTGAATTGTTCTGCTGCTTGTTTTGACACAGAATGAATTCTTGCAGTTCATATGAGAGCAGCTTTTCGTGAACAGCAGTTTGATACATGTTCCATGGTCTGGGTATCTTTTTCTGGGGTGCCATACTGGGCTACCACTTGTTTGCAGCTTGTATGGAAAGCATTTGCAGGGCACACATGGCAATCTGCTGAGAGTGGCTGGAAAGGATGGTAATGGTTATGAAGGCAGCCCTGGGAAACTATTCAGAACAACCAAAACCACAATTATAGCAATAAAATTTGAGTTGATATTACTTCAAACTAAGATTGGACACCATTTCAGGTGAGAAAATTAAAAGTTTTTGTTTATAAGCACCCAAACGTGGGGAAGTTTTTTGCACCCATATACCATAAGTATTATGATTGATGTTTCATTTGCTTCCAACTAGTAAGAAAAAGATTGTTATGACTTCAGAAATTCAGTGTGTAACATCTACTCAATCATTTTCAGAGATGAAATCTCAAAGAAAAAGGCAGCCCTTATTTGCCTAAACACAGGAGCATCAATAAACCAAAGGCTCTCAGAAAGTCCTGGAAATAAATCCTGAAATCAGAAAAGAGGCAACCAATAACCAAGACATTCTTTCCAATGACATCTAGGGGATTTAAATAAAACAAACAAGTGTTACACGTTTAAATTAAACTGCCCAATTAACTCCTTCCTTCCTAAAGTCATATATTTTTTTCAGCAGAAGATGTTTCTTTTCACACCCCGATTGGCAGTGGACACAGAAAAGCTGATGTGATCTAAGCTAGCTTTCTCTAGAAACTCACAGTTGAAGGGAACTGTTTAGAAACAGTCCAACTTTTCTTTAAATTCTCCACTCATACTTTGGTATTATCCAGAACAGATAATCAGATAATAAAAATGAAAGGGTAATGTGTTTCATAATACCAGTCAAACATCCTTAATAGGAAACGCATTTAATTAGTGCTGTTCTTTCTATCAAAGGACTGTAAAAGTTGCCATGGCAGAATTCAGAAATTTAACATCACGTTGTTGAAATAAGAAAATCAGAAACAAAATACTATATTTTGAAAAAACTTTACAAAATGCTTTGACCAGTGGGAGTTTTTAATTATTATTTTGAAAATCAATGGAGTGGAAGAAATCCTTCAAAAAGAATGAGCAAATCATTTTTTTAAAATACCAAACCTCTCTGCTCAGCCATCAGGGCTGTCTGGTGTTCCCAGTGAGCAGCCCCAGGGAAAGAGAGCAGCCCTCTGCAGCCCAGCACCTCCTGGCTGGACCAGCAGCACTTTGCAGCAGATATTCCAGGAGCTGGATTAAACCCACTGTTCTAGGAATATTGCCTCTTGGGTATGCTTGGGGAACAGCATTTACAGACTGTGAAATGAAAAAAAGTTATACCTAAAGGGAAAAACCCCTCTATGATTTCACTTCTCTTTTTCTGGAACAAGTTCAGAACATACCAAGATATTGCAGTTTGGAGACAAAAGTGTCAAACAGCTGAGAGGCAGCTGACACACTGCAGTTCCAGTGCCTGTGTTAGCACTGTTCTGTGAAAGGAACTACTCCCAAATTTCTTGTGGAATTAGCCTATGCCTAGCTTTTTAACCATGCCTAATGGAGATCCTTTAGATTGAAATTCTAAAAGTGCCAGCCCAGGAAAAATGAAAAGGTACTGAATAAACTTCACTCATTTTCTTCCTGGCTGATGGGAAAGTGTCCTTAAGCTTCAGCATAGTTTAGCATTCTTTAGTCCATTTAGGGAACTTTCAGACATCCCTTCTCTTTCTTGTTCTTCACTTTAAAATTTTATTCATTTTTCCCTTTTCCTTGGCATTACAGTGTAGATGGAGTCTTTCAACTCCATCTTTTCACGGGCTTAAATCACCCAAAGAGGCAGTAACAGTTACGTATAGAAGTGCAAAGGAAAACGTGCAAAAACTGATTCAACAAGAAGAGAAAAATTAAGACATATACAATGAGGAGACTTCTGTTTTTACAGAAGCCACCTATGGGAACAGCTTGAGGACATTTTGCATAGCTCTACTTTTATGTGCTTGTAATACAGACACGGATTGATTATGTCACATTTGGCCTTTTCTTCATTATCTACAATTCACAATGCCTTGGTTGCTGATTTTTTTGAGATTTATAAATAAAACAAAGATCAGAAACTTGCAAAAATTGGTATATTGCTAAATTAAACTTTAAAGGTGCATTTTAAAGTACTGTTTTCTTGCATAACTAAGGCAGAAGATGTTTTGCTTAACATTTGCTTTTCAAGTCTGCAGTTGTTACCACATAAACAGCAGCTACAGTGTACTCCCCTCTTTCATTAGCTTATTCATAGCTTCCTGTGAAAAAGCTGGCACATCTCTGCATCTTAAAGTAAATATTTTATAGTGAATTCAACTTCATTATTGATTACAAGGCATATAACACTTGAGTTCTGTATGCACAGAATAAAGCCAAAAATCTCACAGTTAAAGTATCAGAGAAAGTTTAAAACCAGGAGATGATGTTCTACCATGGTGACAGGGATCCAGGCACAGGAATGCACTGGGAATAGACATCAGTTTTATAAGAATTCTACTGTGCACCCTTTACTGATCAGTCTGTTTGGGGATGTTCACCTGCTGCCTGCAGCTTACACCCTGCCAGAACCAGAGCCCAGGGCAAATCTGTGGAGACCATGAGAGGATATGTTTACATATGTATTTACAGCTAAAGGAAGAGAATTTTGCAAGTAAATAAGTGAATTTATCTGCAAAGAAATCACATTAGTAAAACTTGGACTACAGTTGTCATTGCTGTTCCAGTCCCTCCGGGAAGAGAGCTGAGCCAGGATGGAATTCTCAGTCAGAACAGCCCACGGGGCTGAGTTTGATTTTATTCTGGCAATGTGCACCTTCCTCAAGAGCAATGCTAAACAACAGATGGAGAAAGGAGAAAGGAACTGTGAGACTGGGTCATGTTCACAGGGTGAGACACCAGGTCTGGAAAAGCAGGAGCACAGAGGAGGGAGGGTAAAGAACCAACAGAGTGCTGCAGCTAATGCCCAGCAAAGGGACTCTGAGAGGCACAGCCAGGTGAACACAGGAGCTCCAAAACATCACTGGGTCATGTAGCACCTTTTCATAAAACCAGCATTTCTGTCCCCATATCTTTGTTCCTCATTTAGTACTACAGTGTAGAACTTGCACAGTTTCAATGAAGCGTTTCTAGACTGCACTGTCAAATATGTGCCAGGGAGACTTAAATGTTAACTAGGGCTTGCCAAACCCCAAAATCTCTGTTTCTATTAAAACAAAACAAACAAACATCCAAACAAACACAACAGAATTAAAAAAAAAAAAAGGACTTTTCAATATTTGGGAGAAAACAGACCACAAAAAAAGAGACCAGAGATACAGAAAGATAACCAAAGACAGCCAAATATCTCCTTAAGTTGGGTCACATCTCCCAGTGGAAAGTTCAGATAAACAAGGATATGTAAAAATTATAATTTATGGCTTTGATCAATCGTTACTATTAATAGTAATAATAATGCCTTTTGTATAATTAAAAAAATATTTAACTATATCAGAAAGGTATTAAGGTATTGCACTGAACCACTTTCAGTAGACTGCCTTATTTATCTGGGCTAAACTTGACATTCCTGCTAACTCACATCTAGGTAATTGCTGAATATGAGTCAGAGTTGACTGTATTTAGGTGTCTACAAATTTAAATCAGAGAAATAAAAGAAAGTGACTATTTTAGCATTTTAAAAATGTACCTATGCCAGTTCTAGACTCAGGAAACACTGTGTATATAGGCAGGGATTGTGTATATAGATAGTGATTAGAAGGCTTCCCAGCCTAAAAGGATTGCAGCAGAAAAAAACAGTGGCCATGAGAGCTTGCAATCCAGCTTAAGCAGCATTATGTGCATACTGTGGCACCTAACACCATGTTCTACATTTACAGCACAAATTACTGGACAAAAGAGAAAGCTAAAATTTTAAGTGAAATTTAATAGAGAAATAAGTCACAGGGTAAAATCATTATTCAAGTAAGTCCCAAGTGAAAAAGAGCAATGTAGCTGATTTGCAGACTGGCCTAGCTCGGCAGCACTGCCCCTCAGCAGGGCCTTTACTGCTGCTCAGCAGATGGCTGAGGCTGCACTAGAGCTCTGGAACATCAGACTGATGCCAGCCCAGACCAACACACCAAATGCACTGAGTTACTCACTTCTAGTCTCTGCCACAGCATTGCCACAGTGCACATATCAGGTCACTGCTGATGCAGCCACAGGCAGAGGAGAGCTGAGAATGCAGTGCCCTGTCTGGGAGCTCCCAGAGCTGAGAATGCAGTGCCCTGTCTGGGAGCTCCCAGAGCTGAGAATGCAGTGCCCTGTCTGGGAGCTCCCAGAGCTGAGAATGCAGTGCCCTGTCTGGGAGCTCCCAGAGCTGAGAATGCAGTGCCCTGTCTGGGAGCTCCCAGAGCTGAGAATGCAGTGCCCTGTCTGGGAGCTCCCAGAGCTGAGAATGCAGTGCCCTGTCTGGGAGCTCCCAGAGCTGAGAATGCAGTGCCCTGTCTGGGAGCTCCCAGAGCAGCTCAGCTCTGTGACTGTGACACCAGTATTACAACAACTGACCTTTACTGAGCAGGTGTTGAGACTAACAGGGAACAGCAGCTCCTTACCTTCTCATCAGAGAGCAAAGCAAGAAAGAATGCAAATTCCACTTGAAGTCTGCTTCTATTGCTTTATTTCTTCAGGCTTTCCTCAAAGTGGCAAACTCCACCAACAGTATTCCATCCCACCTGAACAAATATTATCTCATCAGAACAAATACTGCAATATTACAAAGTTAGCTGTAACACTGCTAGGAACATTAGGAAAATACTCTTTTATCTATATGTGTGAAGCCAAATAATGATATTACCTCTGGAGACCACAGCCGAGGCTTTGGGTTGCTCTGAGTTACTACACATTAATCTCTTTTTACCTGCAGGCTGCTCACACGGCCCAGCTCTTCAGTGCACCCCATTCACCTCCTTACAGGCACAGCCTTTATTTCAAAAGACCAAAACGGTCTTGATCTTATTCAACACCACTGAATTGTCATGGTCCCTCAGGTGTTGTGATCACTGAACACAACCTGCACTCTGCAGATCTCACAGGCCCCACTGCCAGATCACCAAATTAGGGCATAAAGTGAGGCTGCCCTGTGAGTTCAATGGAGATTTAATGACATAGGATTAGTGAAGAGCAGAAAGAGTGGCCTGCAAGTCTTGTAATACTGGGGGTGTTTTAAGCCAGAGGAGATCTCCAGGTATTGGAAAGAATGAGAGGAAAGAGATTTTAAAAGGCAACACATTTAAAACTTTCAACAATCAGAAAGTGGTATGCAAAAAGCTAAGTCCAGATTTTTAAGAACTATCATAACTGTCAGTGCACTGGAAAACTCATTTGCTCAGCCCTCTTCAGAAAATCACTGATAACAGTTTAGAAAAGACTATGAGAGAAACACAGACTTCGTGAAGCTCACGATGTACACGAATTTAACTTTATTGTTTGCTCTCACTGTGGAGTTCAGCTGCATTTACTGCTTATGAAACCAGTCTGATGAATTCAATTACTGAAGGAAGTCTGGTTTTAATTCTTAGAACTACTACTTATTTCAATTTAAATTGATTAATAATAAAAGTTATGGCATTTCAGAGGAACAGCATATAAATTAATTATAAATTGAAGCCCTAGCCCATGGCAATAAGATACAAAGCTCCCCTTCATGTCAGCTCAGATGCAGCTTTCAAGTATATTCTAAAGGTACTTCTTCTGGATAAATATTTTACTTTATAGATATAAATTACAGTTTATTGCCAGCTGTTTAAAATATCTATGATTTGGTAAGATGAGCCTTGCTAACCCTCAGCTGTCTCCCATTTACTTGAATTGGAAAAACACTGGGTAAATTGCTGCCCATGGAGCACAAACATAAGCAACTGAAGTACCCATAATTTGTTGGAGTTTTAGATCATCCTAATTTAGATATTTTTCAAAAGACATAATGTAAAGTAGACTCCACTTAATCGCCACCCTGATAAACAGCTCTATTGGGAAGATAATACAGTTAGCAAAAGGGTAAATTAAAAGCAAAATGTAAAAGCCGTTCTGCATCCATGACATAGCCATGTGTTTGGAATGAAGTTGTTTGATGTGCTGCTCACAGCAGTGTACAGTGAACCGCCATGGATGGCACAGCTGTTATCTTCAGGGCACTGTCTCCTGCTCTGGAATCCATAGTTACAAACTGCATCGATAGAATCGAAGGAAAACCAGAAAGCTTCTTAATTCACTGTGCCCTTGGGTAATGATGTAGATACAGCATTCCATGTGTGCTCAACAGGGCATTTAAATATCTTCCTTTGCAGGTTTGATCATATGAAAGCTCCCACAAGTGGGGATGCAGTATATACAGTGAGGATACGGAACTGGGTTCTATGCCAAAGCAGCAGCAAGAAGGGAACCTCGAGAGAAGAGAACTGATTGGGGCTGATCCTGGTTCATACCACACTCTGCCAAAGGCAGCTGCAGACTCCCAGGTACTGTCACCAATAAACAAAAATCACAAGCTCAAGAACCAAGAAATTCACAGATTTTCAGTATGTTACATACAGAGCCAAATATTTTTTCTCCATCAAAAAACCCATTTAATATTTCCTTTTGAAGGCTATTTATAACCACAAAGGCAATTTTGTCCCCTTTGAGTAGTTAAAACCTTAATCTCTGGTTTTCTGGTTCAGAAGACATTCTTCATAGAGTGATTTTTAACTATTACAATCCCTTTCTATGACTCTTAACTGGGTCTGAGCCTTTCCCCTTTTTACAGGGTGCAGTGATGGCCAGATTAGGAGAGAAGCAGAAGGCACTGGTGGCAAGAGAGAAGCAAAGGAAGAACAGGCAAGGCAAGGAGGCAGAGCTGCAAAGGTGCAGTGTGGCTGCCAGCCCTGGGTGCCCGGAGTGCAGTCAGCAGGGAGGAGAATCTCCTCGGAAAGGCCCAGCTGGCAGGGAGGATTCAGCAGAGGCAAAGGCAAAGGCAGGAGGAGAAACCAGCCAGCCAGTGTGTGGCCAGGAGTGCCCTGCGAGTAACACAGCACGGGCAGCAGGGCCCAGGACTTACAAATGCAGCCCACAAATTAAAGTAACATCTGATTACCCCCATCAAGTCCAAGAGAACATGGAAATTACCTCTTCACTCACTGACAGGCACGGTTCAAGAGCAAATACCTCACCCCCTCAGCCCGAGGGGATTAACCAGCCATTACCTCCCATCTCCTTGTTTCCCTAATGGCCCAGTTCCATCTCCCTGGGCAGTAAGAGCTCTCCCAGCACATCCAGGCAGACAATCTGTACCAGGGCACTTACCGGGCAGCAGGGACCTGAATAAGGAGCCATCCGCACCTGCCTGCCAAGCCTGGCCTAAAAGCTCCAGGGAGCTCAAGGAGCAATATTCTCAAGGTACCTCCATCTAACCAAATTTCTAAGTAGCACAGGATTACTCTCATTGTAAGGGGAGTTCTCAAACACTATATAAAATGAGATTTTTTTTTCTTTACTGCGCAGGCAGTAAAAAGTATTTCACTCTTTTTGTGTAGGCAGACAGCTAATAATAATGTGCCTACTCAGAATAACACCATTATGAAAGGGAACCTTCCATATTATGTCACAGGACATACCCAATTAGTGGCAAAACATTTAATAATCCCTACGCTTGCCTTCAGATTAGAACAAAAAAGATAAAATAACAATTTGGTGGAAAACATTTTCATACAGGCATCCAAGAGTGAGAACATTCTGAGTTCTGCAATGGCAAAAAAGAAAACAAAAAAAACCAAAACAAAAAAATCATTCTTCTGATACTGCAACACCTTCCTCTTTTCTGTTCCTGCAAAAAGGAAATGCAGTTCTTTTTCATCCAGGAGTAACTGGAGCTTTATACAAATTAAATATTTGGGAGTGAAGTCTACCTTCTATTTTGAATCAAGACATGGGTCTGGCAGATTTCTGACCAATGGGAAACAATAACTACAACCATATTTTCTCTTGCCTTAGTTCCTGCCAGGATCAAAGCCAAGGCTATCAATCCTCATTTATGTTTAGATGTTTAAAATATTCCCAGTATAATTCTGGATTTTTGAAGCAGTTGTCACTAAGCAGTACCTGTAACTGTCCCACTGTACTAAACTATTTTTTCCCATCAGATACTAGTATGGCAATCCTCTTCATGTCTAATTCTTTGACAGCAATTCAGTTTTAGATGGCTTATAATAGGCTCTGCCTGAATTCTGCCAGGATTGAATTGTTATTGATTGGTATGAGGCAATGGTGTAGAAGGCTGCATTTCCACAGCTTGTATTTGGATGGGTCAGATCTTTTGACAGATGATTTTGTTAGAAAACCTGGGGTCACTGTGGGCACTGATTATTACACACCCTTGCATTTTTTCCATCACTGCAAGCTCAGCTTCTTACTCTACAAAAAACACAAGTAATTTTGTTTCTAAGGTCTATATAGAGGTTCTTTCAAGTAGAACATTATAATCAGTACGTTATAATTTGTAATTAACAATTCTATACACTTTTTATGTACATACAGTTGTAACAATTGTACATACAATTATAATTTGTACACAACTTTGCTCCATATTACTCTAAAACAGTGCATTAGGTGCATGAAAAGGAAACATCCACTGTTTTGATTTCTGGCCATATTATCCTGCCTAGGTGTCCTGGTTCCAGCCAGGCCAGGGTTACTGTTTGCAGCAGCCAGGAGGGGGCACAGGGGGGTTATTCTGTCCCACCTGGGTCATTGCCAGGGGCAGGGGAAGGGAGTCTCTGCCCCGGAGGAGCAGTTCCTTCCAGGAGAGGGAGCAGTGGCTATTGTCTGTGGTCAGGGGTTTCCACGGGGAACAAGAAGGTTTCTTTCTTGTACCCTCTGCCATCAGTATTGCTGCTGTTACTGTTTGTTTTCTTAGCTCACTGCTGTTTCCAGGGAATTGTTCTAATCTCCACCCACGATCTGTACCTTCTGTGCCTCCAGGTCTCTCCATCCCGCAGGGAAGGGGAAGGGGAGTGAGGAGCTGTACGTGGCTTAGAGTGGTTTCAGCAGGAAGACTAAACTGGAGAATACCATTCCTAAACCATGACACTGGGCCAAGCCAGCCATCAGTGGAGCTGATGGAACCATCCTGCAGGAGGAAGATGAGCCTGCCAACGTAATTCACATGCTGTTTTCTCACAGAAGCCACCATGAGTCAAAAAGGTCAGGTCAAAACTCCCAAAATCCCACCAATCCTACTCTGCAGGCAACAATTTATTGTATGTTTTGGCTTCTTTTTGTCATCCATATCATGATTGTTCTCATTTGCTCGAGGGACATATGGCTCTCACTAATCAAAGTAATGCCCAAAACCTCCGAGGATTGCAAAGTCTTGGGTTTTCTGGAGAAAAGAGAGAGGAGGAAGAAAGAAGGGGGGGGAAAGCCCATATCTCTCTACTATGTGCCTAAAAGAATAAATATGGTGTTGTATTTGAAATCAAAGTTGCCACAGAAAATTTTTAGCACTACCGAGCTTCAATTCTGCTATTGTAACTCTTGTTGATGTAGAAAACACAGGTAATTATCACACAGAGTCTGTATATGTCAGCTGGGAGTTTAATCAACCTGCTGTACACGAGTTTCAGAGGCACAAACAGGCTGAACCCCTGAGATGTGCCAGTGACCAGAGCACTGCCCACCCCTGAGTGCCAGTGACCAG